GAAAGATCCATTGAACATCCACATGTGCTGGGCACTGAAGTAGTCATTGGGGGTACAAAGATGACTCAGTCTCTGTTCTCATAGAGTTACAGCCTGTATTCAGTAGGAGAAAGAAACATGTCTTAGATCCACAGTTCACTTAATTCTTTACATAGTACATATCCTGTAGATGTCCATCAGTTATTCTTAGATGCCACACTTAACAGTTACCAGCAAAGCATCATTTCCCCTCAAGTAAACTATTTTCCAAACCTAACTGCTAAAGTGTCCTATTCTCCCTAATACCTCAGAATCTTCATCTTTGAATAAAAATTCTGGGCCATCTGAAATATTTGAAATTTAAGGTTTAAATTTCCAGTGAAAAGCTTTACTTTGGTCAAAAGGCATATTTCCAAGAAATTTCTTCTCCCATCAGGTATCTCTGCATGTTTGAAATTTTAGCTGTGTACCAAATATAAGTAATTGTGAAGTTTCTTTTATTAAACTTTTTCATTTGAGTCATTCGAAAATATTTTTAGGTAATCCAAATAACTTCTTTTTTTTTCCACCAGCGGGTCCATATGGAATATTTGCTGGTAGGGATGCCTCCAGAGGACTGGCGACATTTTGCCTAGATAAAGATGCACTTAAAGATGAGTATGATGACCTCTCAGATTTGAATGCCGTACAAATGGAGAGTGTTCGAGAATGGGAAATGCAGTTTAAAGGTACCTTCATTTTGTTGGCTTCTTTGGAAATATTAAATTTATGGCTTAAGAAGGTGTATACTATTTCACATTCTTTAAGAGCCTAAGGATGTATGTTTTCATCACCATTATTATTTCATGATAAACAGCTAAAAAGCAATATGATTGCTACATGTGATTTATAAAATCCATATTTAAAAATTGACTTGTTCCAAATATAAATCTAACAAAAATTGTGACATCTTTAGTCATATATGGCTTGTCTATTAAGGTATCGTTTTTTAAAAACTACAGGCTTATATTTAAAATTGAACTAATTACCCATATTGATAGTATAATTATAATTTATTCTAAATGATTTTATTGATCTTACCCTCGGACTATAAAGAAAAAAATGCCAATTCCCTTTATTTTACCTTCGTGACATCAATTATTACCATCTGTGTGACATTCCAGATGTATGTGGTATGGATCCCTTAGAACAGTTTTATTAAGCTAGGTTCGAATTCCTGACCAAGAAATGACTAAACATATATCAACTTGGACATTACATTATACACCTGGTCATATAAAAACAAGCAATGTAACAAATCTAAGAAGAGCATTTGATAGAACAACAATAGTGTATGACGGGCCACAAACTGAGACCTCAAAGATAACAGGATAATAAGTAACAATGAATTTTCATCTCTTCCGTTTATTTTCTTGGAGACTACTAGCATATGTCACATTTTCTCCCCAGGAATATTTCCTAGTTGGATCTACTTACCATGTAATTTTTAATTGTTTTCTCTAACCTAAGCTATTTTATTTCATCTCAGTTCTACATAAAAGAACTATTCTAAGACTCACAGCGTTCATTAGTTCATTAGTTAGAGCAGTTTCAAACTACATGTCCCCAGACCTAACCCAAGATCCTGGGATTGGTAGTTCCAAGAGAGGTTCTGAACATGCACATTTTTTTAAAAAAATAGATCCCTAAGTGATTATGATGCAGTATCCTTAAGAACTGGTAGTACTTTCCTACAAAGTGTAATTCCCAAGCTTTATGTTTCTAATCCTGTTTTCGTTTGTTCAGGCCTTTCATGAGTACAGAGAAAGACCAGCCAAGGTGGGCAGTAGGAAAAAATTAGCTTATTCTATATGATTGTAGATGAGGCAAACACCTTTCCTGCTGTATAATGGAATAGTGAGACAAATTTGATCGCTACTGATTTTCTTTTGATGTATCTTTCAGAAAAGTATGATTATGTAGGCAGACTGCTAAAACCAGGGGAAGAACCATCAGAATATACAGATGAAGAAGATACCAAGGACCATAATAAACAGGATTGAACTTTGTAAACAACCAAAGTCAGGGGCCTTCAGAACTGCAATTCTTACTCCCTTTCACAGAATGTCCAGCGTCTTTGGGTTTGGTTCACCTGCTGCAAAAAACATTCAACAGATTGTGTACAAGCTAAATGAGTCTCACTATGAAGATTTGAATACTAGACATTATTTATGCTGCCAGACTCATTTGTTGCGGTTGTCTATAATGTCTGATTGGGGCTTCATCTTGCTGAAAAGGAGACAGGGATTTTTTTAAGAAGCAAGAAAGTTACAGGGTTACTTTTTCCTTTTTTAATTTTTCTTTAAATCAAAGACAACCAGATATGTATTTGCTACTTAAGTGTACAAAATTCAAAAACAGGGGTTCTTATTTTATGTGCTGTGCTTTTGTTTTTAGCATTGATGGAGGAGACCTGGACAGGAGAGGTGATGGGTGCACATCAGTTTGAGTAGTTTAGGCTACTGAACCATTAAAATGTGAATTCACCAACTTTTCTTTTTGGGTTTTGTCAGAGAAAAGGGAAAAAAACCTTTATTTCTAAGAAATTTTTGGAAATTAGGAGACAGGTTTTCAAGTGGGTTTAAGTTAGAGCTAAATCCCCAACAGTAAGATCATTTGAAACAAGTTTTCATCCCTTCCTTTCCCCTAGGTCAAATCAATATTACTTGTGCCTTATTTCACTTACATAGACTTGAATTGTTTTTAGGGACAGCCCCCCTATGTGAATTCAGAAGTCACTACAAGCAGCATTAAGACTGAAGTTGGAATGTTCTGTTGACTGCAAAACCTTGATGTCATTCTGTGTATATAGAATGTAAAAGGAATATTCAGTGTTACTGCCATATATGTTAATATTCACAAACTTAATTAGCATTGTAATGGCCAAATGCATTCTCCCATGCTTTTTTCTTTTCAAAAAAATTGAAAGGTCAACTCTGTCCCTCAACAGCTGCCTAATTTGGGGAGTCTGACCCTCACAGCTCACTGGTGTGGGTGCATGGGATCGTGGTGTGGATGTCGTATGGGTGCGTCTGAATGTGTGAGAGCGCCTTGGAAGAGACTCTGCAGATACTGTAAATAACCAGTACCGTTTTAATAAAGCATGTACAATAAACCAAAATAAGCTCGAGTTGGACTTTATATACAAACTGTAAGCCAGTGCATTCTGATGATGGTAGTCAAGATTATGCATTTGATTCAAGATAAGGAAAAGTCTTGGAAATGAAAAAGCGGGCACTGGTTAACCAAGTTGTACACATTGTACCATGTTCACTGTAACTTTAGGAAGAAATTCCACTTAGTGGAACATTCTCAAGAGATCTGAGATTATTCAGGTAAGAATTGATATATAAAAATGTACATATTTTTACTTTATATTTTGATGCCAACTGATTATAGTAGAAGTAACAGCACTCCAGGTGGTAGTTATTGGACACAAAACAGTAAAGGATATTCTACCGATAGGTATTAAATTCTTCTATCGTTGGTTTGGAAAAGCCCTGTCAGTTATTTGATTTCTTCATGACTATTTGATTCTTGGTTGGGGTAAGTTATACCAAAAAAATACATTTTATTTAACAAGTCGCCAGTTAAAGAAAAGTTTTATCCTGCTTCATGAGTATGATGGTATGTAGAAGCCATCAAAGAAAGGGGAACATTTAACTGCAACAATAAACTACAGTATGTAAAACACAGCAGGTTCTCAAATAACATTCGATGCCATAGGAACTTAACCTCTCCTTTATATCAGGCTGTGGTGCAACAATAAACTACAGTATGTAAAACACAGCAGGTCCTCAAATAACATTGTCTCTTTCGATGCCATAGGAACTTAACCTCTTCTTTATATCAGGCTGTGGTAAAATTGGTTTCCTTATATGTTGTTTCACTTAAAGTTGGAGAACCTGTTGATGTTGAGGACTTACTGTACTACATTCTGTTATATTCAGTATTGGAATGTTTTGTAGAAAATGATGAACTTCAGCCAAATCTTAGCTGAACACTGGTTGTAAAGACTGAAGAGTGTTGTTAGTAAATGCTTTGTGTGTTTTTATGTAAAATATTTTCTAAAATTTGTTAAAGTACATGTCCTCTGTATTAAACTGATACATCTATGGATCATTCGAGCCTAAAATTCAGAAATCTGCACTTGTGAATAGAGAAACCCTAAATATTCATGCAGTAAAAATTATGCAGTATGTTAAGAAAAATGAGTAATTTTGTGTTTTGAACTTGAAATAAACCGTGTTCTAATAGACAATTCCTCAATTTCAATTGAGTGTTTCTCATTCTCAGGCAGTTTGCTGGGCAGATCTTGAGTAAGGGGACCGGAGCTGTGGAGGTATTGTTGCTGTTTTCCCTCTTGGCCAGTATTTCCCTAATTTGCCTGATTATTGGAACCACTTGAGGTGCTAAAAATACAAATTCTTGGTCCCTAATCCAAACCTACCACCCACTGAGCTAGAATCAAAAGAGAATGGGGTCTCAGACTCTTTCTTTGTAAGAAGTGCCTTGGGTAATTCTTATGATCAGGCATGTTTGAGAAACACCACACTAATAATTTCAAGTTAATATTGCCCAACTTTGTCATCCACTTGAAAGAAATGGAAATGGAGTTTACTCTTGGGTAATTTTGATTTGATTCTCTATTTCACTTTGTATCATTCCCTAAACTTCCTTAGAGTTTCTGAGTTTAAAATCAAGAGTTTCACATAAAAATCAAATATGTGGTTATTAAAAATAAATTTTTATTCAGATTTTTATATTTGGATAGCATCTCCAAGTTGTCATATGTTTCCCAAATAAAATCTATACTATGTACTAGCCAGTTTCTCTCTACCGGGAAATGAACCCATTCGGATACAAATCAAGTTTTTAAAACCTTGATTGTGGTGCTAAATAAGGCTGCTTGTGTTTTTCTGACAGTAATTCTGCATGCCTTTTTTGAAATATGTAGAACCTGACGATATACCTACCTCTAACCCACAATCTAGAAAGCTGAAGTTAATATGTTGAACTAGTATTGGAGAAAATTGTTGTCTAGAAAACCTGGCATTGAATCAGACTCTGCTCTGCTTATCCAAGTATTCCATTTACCTCTTTATAACAAAAGTGCAGCAAACTGCTAGAAATATATGCCACTGACATGTTAACACCGTGTATAACCTTACAGAGCCATTATGGATCAGAATAAGTGGGTAATACTATAATAAGAAATATATAAATTTTTTTAAGTTGCTTTTAGCATAGTGGAAATAAGAGTCATTGAATATTACAGTGATGGTTCTTTTTCTCTAATGAATTAAAAGTAAATGCTCAAAGACAGCTTTTGAGTATATATGTTTCATTCAGGTCAGCTATCAGTTTGGTAGATGATATTAATCACAGATTATGATGTATTTGTCATGAGAAAGTTCAAGTAAAGACATCCCAACTTTACTTAGACGAGTGTAGGCCCTCATCATCCCCAAGCAATGTTAGAAAGGCCTGTGTCTTAACCACACTCCTGCAAGACACTGAGCAGACCCGGGGCTGGATGGCAGCTTTGCATTTGTTCTGTCATCGCTGGTGCCTGAGAGAACATCGGGTTGCACGGAATTACTCCATTCAAGAGCGCACTTGACGTGCTGTGCACACTTTCATTCTCAAGAGATTTTTCTATGTTGCTGTATTTGCATAGGACTCAACTACACCAAATTCTGAAGTTTGGTCTAAGAAGACTGGTAAATATTTGCATGGTACTTCCCCCCCCCCCCCCCACGATAGTGTGATTTTAATGGCTACACAATATTGTTCCCAAATGCAATTTTTAGTGAAAATGCAAGAAATCCCATATATAGTATGGTACCAGTTTGGTTAAAGAAAATTGGAGGAAAGCAAAGTTTGAAAGATAACAATTTAAAAACCAAAGTAGCTATGCTTTTGCCTAGTCATAAAAGTAATGCTCAGTAAACAGAAAAGAATTAAGAAAATGTGAACCAAAAATCAAGAGTTAAGCAAAGTTAACCTTTCCTACATCCTACCCATCCAGTCAGGGTGGACATCTCTACTGGAAACCTCCAAATGAATGCAATATTTCCCCCTCAAATCTGCTTCTATCGGAGAGCTACAGCTAAGTTTTCCTACTACCCTTCTTGTTATCAAATTCACAGTCCCTTTTGGCAATCGAAAACATAAAGAAGACTTTGTTCTCTACTTTAAAGGCCTTCTGTGGCTCCCTATTTCCTGAAGAATCAGGACAAAGTGTAGGCCCTCTTCCTCACTTCCCACTACAATATCAGCTACATAAAATGACTTGTACCTTCCAGAATGTACTTCTAGCTACTTACCTACTCAGTTCTTCAGTCTGGATTATACTCTTCCTCAGACCTTCCCAAGTTAACTGCCCTCCTAGCTAATTTGCTCAGATTTAGAGACCGAGGCTCAGACTCAGTGATTGCATGCCCCCATAGCATCACAGGTACTGTTGTTTCACTGAATTTACTATGTTGTAATCATCTATCTCCCTGATCAACCAAGGGCCAAGAGTACTGTTTTAGGCCCAGTGGTTTTCCTCAACATCACAGTGCTAGACACAAAGTATTTGCTCAAAACATTTTTGTTAAATTTGTAAAATGACGGGGTGGACTAATATCACTAGTTGTTAAGTGGGGGCACCGAGGAAACATCAAAGACTGAGGGGCGCCAGGGCAGTGCCTCTTGTTTGTGTTCACTGAGCGTGCAAGCAAGAATTTAAAGTTTTTGTGCTACCAAAAAAAAAAAATTTAGAAAAACACTGGCCAGATGGTCTCTTTCAGTTTATGAATATAATTCAAGGTAGAACTATACAGTATTATAAATATCTAGCAATGCGATATGATGACCAAACGCAGATGGGTCTTCATGACACAAGGGGATGAAGCTGTAAGCGCCACAGTACCACCCTGGCCTGAGGACACATCTCTAACCAAAACAGCTCTGCCGCGACTACAGCTCACAGGCTTAGTCACAGGGCTGACCAAAGGGAAGACAGGGCAAGAGGACTCCCATGTTTTTTCTTTTAACTAAAAACATCAATGCCTTTGGAATCCCACCCAGGGAGTCCTTTGCTCCCTCCCTCTATGTCCCCCCACCTCCCATCCTGCTACAAAGGCACTCATTGCAGTCTCTTGACTAGTCTCAGTGGTAATTTAGAAAAAAGACAAGGTAGATGAGAAGCAAGTTTAAGTTCGATCTTGCCAAAGACAAACTGCAATGTAATAAAAGTATAATGAAAACGGTCCGGCCTGCTGTACTTGCCTGGGAAGAAATGCCTTACTTGTGGGAGAAGACCCTTGCCCTTCCAACCGTGCTACAAGAGAAAAGCAAGATAAGAGGAATCAATCACCTTTCTCATGTGAGAAATGCAAGAGCAATGTGTCAGTAGTACAACAGTTTAAGCCTTGCAGGGGGCCTGCCTCTATCTAGTGAGTTTCTGAACTTCCCTGAGCCTAATTTTCCTCATTTGTAGAAAGGGGCTAACAGTATCTACACAGGTGAGAAATAAGATAAAGGCCACCACTCCATGACATACTACACACTCTTCCCTCCCTCCCTCTACTTTGCAGTGGTAGAAGGACAGTACCTTTTTAGGTGGTATATAATTTTCTTAATTAAAGTTAACAATCTGAATAAACTTTTGTTAATTAAATTGATACTCTTAAATCTGAAAAAATATTTATGAGCTTTCCCACAGTTTATCAGTAACAAAATATTTCGAAACGGCCTCAATGTAATACCAAAGTTCAGCTATCATGCCAGGAGTCACAGATCACATTAATATTGTCACATGCCCAACTTGTAATTAATTTAGAATCTGGACTTGTGGTTTGGAAGTTATCCTAAAATTACTTGCATAACTTAGTTCTATCTATAGATGAGATGTCAGAGATGGAACTATGGGCTTAAATTAAATTGAAAACACCTCATTACTGACCAACTTCACTGTAGAACAGTAAGAACATGGCACATAAGTTTAACCAGGAGCAAAATGGAAAACGCTACGTTGCAGCAATAACTTCGGTGCACTTGCCATTGGGCTTCACAGATCTGTGTGCATTGTTTTAATCTTATTTCAACTTCCATGGATCATCTCAGAACCCAACCTACTAGTATTAAGCGAAACTAGTGATTAGAATGGCTAAATATGTTGCAAATGTACTGTTCAAAGATTTTCCTCACATGAGTGAGTTTCTTTTAAAGCAAATGAAAACTTCATTCTAAATGAAAAGAACACTGGACTCCTATCTCTAACATATTCTTGAGCAGTCAGAATTTAGGTCAAATTGGAATGAACTGTGTCGGCTTGGCTAGTCCATGAGCCCCGTTGTTTGGTTAAACACTAGATGTCGCTGTGAAGGTATCTATATATGATTAACATTTACAGTCTGTTGACTTTAAATTAAACAGATGACCCACCATATTGTGAGTAGGTCTCAGCCAATCAGTTGAAGACCTTAAGAGCAAAGACTGAGGTTTCCCCAAAAGAAACAATTTTGCCCCAAGACTGCCACATAGAAATGCTACCTGAGTTTTCAGCAGGCTGACATGCCCTGTGGATTTCAAGACTGCCACATCAACTCTACCTGAATTTCCAGCTTGCCAGCCCTACAGATTTCAGACTTGTCAGCCTTCACAATTGTATGAGTCAATTCCTTAAAATATCCCTTCATTATCTATCTATCTATCTATCTATCTATTCAAAGATTTATCTAATCTACGATTGGCCTCTGCCTCTGGAGAACCCTAATACACTATTTCCTAATTATTAGTACATATGAGATTTTTAAAGTTTTACTTCAGTTTCATAATTAAATGGCAAATCCTCTCTTTATTTATTCAGTACTTAATACTTGATCTGATATGGCCAGTTGAGCTTCAGTTTCTAAATTCTGAAAGACATTTCTGCCACAAAATGTAATAATTTTACCAACATGTCTCCCATTGTTTCAGATACAATCTGAGATAACTTTTGATCTAATTTCTGAAATAAAATTCCATCAAAGGTCACAAGACTGCTCAAGAGGAAAGATGAACACAATCCTGCTTTCAATGATACCAAAGTCAGTGTGAAATTTAGAAGAGCATAATCTAGTGATTTTATTCAGAAACCCTTAAATTGACCCCAATATTGAGTTTTAAATATATTTTTTAATTATAAACTTAACAGAAATAGCATGAAATCATTCATATAGCTGTATTTACAGAAATATTACACTTCAGTTTCAGAATCTGCAGACAAATTGCCTGGG